TTTGGGGGCCTGGGCTTTGGCCACCCCAGACAGCCTATAACTGCTACATGACCACTTTGAAGGAGGCAATCCTTCAAATCTGCTGCCATCATTATCCTAATTGGCTCAGGAACTATGAGGGCCAGTGCCTGGGGGTAACCCTGCAGGTCTTCAGTGTCTTGAACTCAAATGGCCTGGGCTGGGCAAGATGGCAGGGATGCCACCCTTGGGCCCACTTGGGTCATGAGAATGGCATCCAAATGCTTTAGGAAAATGGTGTGGCCCGGGGACACCATGTATTGTGAAACCAGATCAAACTCTGTCATTTAAGCACATTATTGTCACTGAGCAAATTCAAATACACACATCCTTTGCCCATCACTCACCATGGCATGAGTCTGAATCTTAGTAGCCACCGGTGAAAGCTGCACCAAAGGGAAAGCCCTGGGGCTCGAGTGGGCCAGGTAAGAAGGTTACCACACCTGTGCCTCCCCATACCCTCTAGTTTACTGACCTACATCATGAATCACTGGTCTCACAAATATTTACCAAAATGTACACACACAGTCCTTGAGGTTCCCGATCAAGCAAAGATGTTTTTCTGAGAGTCTGAGGATCTGATAACATCTTTCTCTTGTCCTTCTTTAGGAATGGCTGCCCGACAGGATTCAGTAGACTCAGGTGTCACCCTTTTCTACAAGGCTTCAGAATAAGATAGTACCTTTTCTTCCCAGAGAAGTCTGATAGATTGGAGAAATCTGAAAGCATCTGATTTTACACCACTTAAAAGTAATCTATCTGGTCTGCTCTCCTTGGAGAATTTTTTTTTCTCTCTTCCCATTTAGACATGTTACGATAATATGCCTTGTTAATAGTTTCTGATTAATGTTACTCAGAACAAGATGAAACCTTTCATTTCTAATCTCATTTATTTTCTCAGTCCTGAAAAGCTCCCCCGTCCCTTCCCTGTATCAATTGTTTTGGTCACAGGCAAGCTGCCTTTCACCTAAGCAACAGCCCTAGAGTCAACCCTGCTGGTGTTTTTCCCTGAACCACAGTAAGACTTTACATTTTTATCCTTTACATCTTTACTTACTGAGGATGGAATTAAAAAGTAACAAAAAATTTCAAAGAAGAGTTAGAAAGACTGCAGATGGACCTATTTCTTGGTGAAAAAAAAAATCACAAAGAAAGAGAGTGTTTCATATTAAAATTTTCCTACTTAACTAAAGCATAAAATTCTGGGTCATTTCTTTTTTTAAAAAAAGATTTTATTTATTCATTTGAGAGAAACCAGTGAGCAAAGCAAGAGAGAGAACATGAATGGGGGGCCGGGCAGAGGGAGAGGGAGAAGCAGACTTCCTGCTGAGCAGGGAGCCCGACACACAGGGCTCAATCCCAGAACCCTGGGATCATGACCTGAGCCTAAAGCAGACGCTTGACTAACTGAGCCACCCAGGCACCCCTATTTTGCATCATTTCTTATAGGTTAGTTTGTATAATTGTATATGTGTATGCTATATGAAAATTATATGTGGATGGGTCCATTTGTGTATATTAAACAAAGCTCTGATTTTTTTTTCAAGCAACGGGGATGGCTTTCTTAAACAATGTATTTATTATTCATCTAATGTGTGTTCTGAGTGGCATAAAACAGCACGAAATGAAAGAGAACGAATATAGTTTGTAAAACACAGATTACTTCATGTAAAGAGAGCCCTGTCATCAGAAATCCCACAGTCTCCCGGTCCAAACACCTGCCTGTGAATTTCATGGGGAAGTGAGTGCTGATACCCAAGGGGGCCCAGGCTGTGTGGGCTGGGGGACAGGGACAGCGGTTGCTGTGAGCAACACCCAGAGGAAGGCCCTGAAAGACATGGATCCTCGCCTGAGCTGCTTTCTGAGGAGAGGTATGTATTTGCCAGGAAGCAGGCTAAGGTTGGGGTGTTGACCAGTGGCTCTCTAACTTGGGTGTGTAACAGAATCACCTGGGAGGCTTGTTAAAATACAGGTTGCTGAACCACTGCCCAGAGCGTCTGATACAGTAGGTGGGACACGGGGCCCAGGAATCTGCATTTGTAACAAGTTCTCAGATGAGGTCGATGTAGCTGGTCAGGGACCACCCCATGAGAACCACAGAACACTGTGTAGACAGCAGCTACGTGGACCCTGAGTGCCGGCCGTGGTCTTGACGGCACCAACAGCACTCAACTCCTGCTTTAAAGAACTGGCGGAAAACCAAGGCTTCTATAGAGTCGGCCCACAACTCGCAGGATGACACGATCCACAGGCAATAAGGCATAAACATTCCCACATCTCCAGCGTGGATGCTGGATATGCCTGGGTACACAGTAAGAGGCAGGTGATCACACAGGAGGGTGGCATCCATGCTCTGATCCATTTGAAGCTCTCATAAAGACGTGCAGAGAACAGCCAGGAGCTGAACTGAAGTGAAGCCAAGGCTGGGTCGGGCTCCGTGAACCGCTCGCTCCAGCCTGTTCATAAGGAGCACGTGGAGTAGAACTCACTGGCCCCTGAGCTGGTTGGTGGTACACAGGCTTTGGTAAACTGGGCTCTGCTTCAGGGTGGAAACCGGTGAGCCCCCTGGCCCCCTTCATGGAGGGGGCCAGCCACACAGGACCATCACCACCATCACCACCGAGCCTGGCAGAGCCCCACACACAGACCTTTGCAAGGGCCAAGTCACTGCAAAGCAAATGCTTTTGCAAGTGTGGGTAGACAAACATCTTAGCGAGCCTTAGCACTGAATTCTGCTGTCACAGCCTCGGTTTTCCCCAGAACACAGTGGGCAATGGCAATCGAATCTGGGAGTCCCTCCTGTCCCCATAACCTCCCCCCACACCTGTGCCCCTGGCTCCATTGGGGCAGCGCTCCACCCATCATCTGGTTCTCCCCTCTGTGGGTGATGTCTTACTCTTCATGGGCTTCCTTCTAACAGCATAGAGAGACCTCCAAATCTCTCTGCTCGTAAAAAAAAAAAAATCTTAACTCTCTCAATGCCGGGTTTCTGTCAGCTCATTTCTTTCATGGACAGGTACCTGCAACAAGTTATCACAGATTGCTAACAAACACTCACTCAGGCATGGATCTAATGGATACCTATGGAGCCATGTGCAGAGCATGGTTCTACACGCTTGGGACACGAAGGGGAGCACATCAAAGATCTGGACCCCGTAAAGCTTGCAATCTAGTGAGGGCAAGGTCGAGAAAAACAATACTCATAATAAATAAGTAAATTCTATGGCATGCTAGAGGTCAGCGAGAACTTAAAAAAAAAAAAAAAGAACAGCACAAGGAGAGAGGAGAAGGTGAGAGCAAGGTGGAGGTCTAAGTTACAGGCCAAGTTCAACATGCTGCGTCCAGATCTCTTCCTTCTGTTACATTCCAAACAGATGAATGACAAGTATATTCACTATAATAACATATGCATGGGCTTTTTAATTGTGGGGCTTTATAGAGAAATCCTATGCAAATTCCATCAAGGAAAGAACCCAGCCTGACATTGAGAGCAAAAGGAAGAGCCCGTAGTCTTCGAAAGGGAGTGATCCGAGGAGGTGGGGAAGGTCCTCGCCATCCCCTTTCACTCATGCAGCCCAGACGGCCATCACATCATGAGAGCACGATGCCTTTCATTTCCACAAAGGGGGACAAAGGGTTGATGAGGGGCTGATTGAAGGTATAGAGCAGTGAGGGATACATGAGTGAGACAGGCTGCAAAGAGCAGGCTTTGACTAGGGTAAGAGATCCGTACTGGGTGTTGCCTGGTAGAACAAAAATGAGAATGTGGTAGAGAGAGGCAAAAGAAATTCAGTGAATTTTAAACCTTACAATTGTGTCCTGAGTGGTTTCCAACAAGCCTGCTTCCCAGGGGCTAAGGTATGCAAAGGTTCAGGACAAAGGGCAGTGGACACAGAGGCCCCAACTGGGGGTCTCCCCAGCACCCGCTCTTTGTGGTATGGATGAAGACATACCAGTTAAGTGGTTACTGTGTCTCAAGGATCCCCCCCCCACCCCACTCCAACTCCTGGCTGGGGTTCATTTATCTTAACTCAACAACAAAGAGGTTGGAATGCATCAATGTGGCCAACTTGCATTTTTTCTACAGTGGAATTCATTTTTTCAAACAAAATCTCAAGCAGAACACAGCACAACTGACCCTTGGACAACACAGGGGCTTAGGGCACTGACCACCTGTGTGCGTGCAGTCAAAAATCCATGTGTAACTCTTGACCTTCCAGAAACTTAACTACTCCTAGCCCACTGTTGTTGACCTGAAGCCTCACCGCTACCATAAACAGCCGATGAACGCATACTTGGTATGTTATGTGTATTATGTACTATGTTCTTACAATAAAGTAAGCTAGAGAAAAAATCTGATTAAGAAGATCATAAGGCAGAGAAAATACATTTACAATATTTTACCATATTTATTGAAAAAGACTGCATATGAGTGAACCCGTGCAGTTCAAACCCGCGTTAAGGGTCAACCACGTACAAGCTACCTAGCAGTGAGGATGATGTGGGCTGGGGGCCCAGCAAGAGGACCATTCTGCATCTTTGTCATTCCCCTTCCCCATCCTCCTCCTTAGAAGCATTTCTAAGGAAAGGAAAGGTCCCAGAGAACACGGTCCTTCTCTCTTCTAGCCTCTTAACGATTCTCTGATGTACACAAATCGTCAAAATGCATCCAGTGGAAATACTAAGGAGATAACCTAATTTTAAGAACTAATTAAAGAAAGAAGAAAAACTGGATGGAAGTGAGAACCAAATTCTCTGGCTCATGTCCAGAGTGGGTCACCAAAGCATGAAATATTGGTCAACCTTTGGAGAAGGGAAAGCCCAGGGTCCCCCTGCCTGAAGAGGGTGACAACCCACTGGCACATTCTCAAGAGCAGGATGGGTGAATTGCTCCTTCCACTCACCAGCGAAAAAAGCTTTAAATACACATTAAGGATGACCAGGCAGCTCTGCTTACAAACATGAATGAACCATGCACAAACCTTGATTCCAAGTTCGATATTTTCTCCCCCATACACGTCCATCCCAGGGTCAAGAAGACCGATTTCACCGAAGAACTTCCTGTTGACCACGAAGGAGCAGCCAATCATGGCTGGCGTCCTGCAGGAGCGAGAAAGAAGTCAGAGTCAGCTGACATATATATGATTCAGCCACGAGAAAGAAGGAAATCCTGCCATTTGCAACACCTGTGGACCTTGCAGGCATTAGGCTGAGAGAAGTCAGAGAAAGACAAATACTGTATGTTCTCACTTATATGTGGCATCTAAAAAAGCTGAACTCATAGAAACAGAGTAGAATGGTATTTACTGGGGGTTAGGGGCTGGGGGAATCAGGGAGATGCCATTGGTCAAAGGGTCTAAATGTGCAGTTCGAAGATGAATATGTTCTGGAGATCGCATGCACAGCATTGTGCTTCAGACAAATTAGGGTACCCAGAGCATCCAGCGGCGACCCGGCTTCTGGGTAGCTTACACAGGATGGTCTCACATGACCCATGGGGTCTGCAAGCATGGGGATGGTTCTCACGGCACATCTGGTAACAGCTGTGTGACAGGGAGCATCCCGGGGCAGTCACAGAGAAGCTCAGAGGTAAGGACCAAGAAGGGAGAAGACTCATCCAAGAGACCACTGGTGCCCAGGGAGAGACCGCCTCAGCCTGCCGGGAAGAGTGTCCAGGAGGAAAGATGAAAAGTATCGGCAGGGTGGCCTGTGATCATAAAGTCCAGAAACAAAGATTTGTACTTTGTTTTTGAATATATTAATCCCCTTGATTATTTCTTCTAGCACGGGCCACAGGCTAATGAGGGATAGCATGCCAAGTCAGAGCTGAGGCCCACGGAGATCTGGTGCCCTGAGTCACAGGGTGGGTGGGGCTCAGGACCTACCCAACCTCAAAGTCCACTCTACTCTCCAGAAAATGCTCCGAGGAGGAGTGGGCAAATGCCCGGGCTGCCAAAGGCCAGAAATGCTGTTAAGATGCTTTCTGGAGGAAAAGAGACAGGAAGGCCAGTCAAACTCCCCTGGGGCCACCAGGAAGCTGTTCATTAGGTGGAATTCTCTCGAGCTGAACTGTAAACTTCCACGTCAGATCCTCATTTGCTCCTGATTTTGAGCCTGACTTTCACCTTAATGTCCAGATTTCTGACCCCATGGAACACCTCTTGGAACCCATGTGGTAGGGTAGTGGAGGGGCACACCAGAAGAATAGAAGAATCAGTGCTCAGCGCTGACTGGAGTAGTTTGAACGCTGGTGTTGCCACCGAGACCCACACTTGTGTGAGGTTAATGGAATGCTCTGGATCCCAGTTAAGTCCCTATGGAGTATCACTGTGCAAAGAGATGCAACGTTCACAGAGGAGGGGTTCAGTGAAGACTGTTCCTCTGCCCTCTCATTGGGAAGCCCACCCATAATGTTTTCTCCAGAAATCCCATACCAATCACAGCCCTGTACATGGGGTGGGGCCTTCCATAGGTGCCACGCGGGCCACACCAGGGAGAGGAGGTGCTTCACTTGTTGATCCTCTCCTCCCAGCCCTGCGCCCCTCAGAGACAGGCAGCTGACCCCGAGCATGGAAAAGTACCGTGTGAGCCCAACCCCTGGCATCAGTTAACTGAACCAGGAATGAGCACCAAACCCAAACTGGGTCAATCAAATCATGTTTTTCCTGAGGAAAAACTTGGGAGTCGGGAGGGTTCTGGAAGTGAGAACCACATGGTCTCTTTCATCTGTAGGACTCAGGGCGCCATTTTGGGACAGCTGCATTGGCCTCCGTGTGCACGTGCATGATTGTGCAGAGGAAGGAAGCAGATGCATGGTGGAGGTGTGAGGCCGTGGTGAGGGACAGCCTGGTGACTTTGGCCTCCCATCAGCTGACAGGCCCGGCTCTGGCCTCTGTCCCTGGGGTCATGCGAGAGCCCCCCTGAGTCTCTGTGTTCTATCTCCTTGACTCAAACCGTGTGGAATAGGTTTCTGTTCTTCCTTTTCTCGGAGATTGGCTCGGGGACCCACCTGCACCAACATCACCAGGATGGTTTTTAGAAAATGCAGACTCGTGAGTGCGGCCCAGAATCATGGAACCAGGTTCCCAGAGACGGGACTCAGGGACTTGGGTCTGTAGCAGCAGACTGATGCTGTGGAGCCATCTGCCCCTTGATCGGTCAGGTGCCCGGGGGCAGAGAAGTTAGCCCCCTGGTTTCTTATTCCCAGGAGCAGAGGAGGTACCAGATGGCTACTGGTGAACAAATGAGTGACTATAACACAGCTGGGTGGCCGCCCCTGGTGGGGAAGGGCTCCATGATGTCTCAGGGGCACAATGGCTGAACTGGCCCGGACCCCAAGGACAGCAGGGAGGCATGCTGTAGCTCGGGCTGACCAGGAGGGGCGTGAAATGAAGGAGGAGATGTGGAGCAGAGATGGAGGGAGGAGGAGGAAGTGGGGGAAGGGTGAAGAGGAGGGAGGGTGGGCTTCGAAGCACAAAGCTTTCACTGTCAAAGAGGGTAGACAGGCTGCTTGTTCCTTCCGGATCCCTCTCGGATTGCCCTTTGGGAAACATCCTTCCCTGTCAAGCAGCATGATATTTTAGTATAACTGGCTTCATCTGCGTGATATTTTTCACCTGCAGGTGGCGGGAAGCAAAGAATTCACAAGAGCTGCCCTGGGTCCCCTCTCTGCTGGTCACAGCTCTGTTCTGCAGATTCAACTCAGTTCCCTACCAGGAGCCCTAGGATTCCTCATGACAGAAAGGAGAGGTCCCCGAGGGCCTCCTGGTTGGAACCAGGCCACAGCAGCTGAAAGCAGGCCCCGGTGTGCCTCCTGGGCCGGCCGTCAGAAGCTGAAGGTGAAGGGCAGGGCGGGTGCTGGCCCTAATGAAATGCAGACCTAGGACAAACCATTGACCATTATTGCTGGTGGTGGCCTGCCAAAAGGTCCCCTAAAGGCCACGGGGAAAACCTGCCATGGTGTCAAGAAGAGGGAACGCACCATTCCATGTCTCAGGAGATGGCACCTGACAGGGACAGTGGGAAAGAGGCTGGCACTGGCCTGGACATCAGCCCCCAGGAGGTGGCCTCCCTGCTGAGCCAAGGCCCCCGTGCTGCAAGAGCAAGGCTCCGCGGCGCAAGGCTCCTGGCAGGTGGCTCGCATAGAGCTGGGAAACATGGAGACTGAAGAATTAAGACACGTGTCCCCACCCCCGGCTAGGCCAGCCAGCATTTCTGGTGAGGTCGGTGGGACAACTGCTTTGCATTCTGGAACTATCCGACTGCACTGATGGTGAGTAGCTGCCTCTCTGCACAGGGAGGAGCAGGTCTCCACCACCACACCATCTCCAGGCCCTGCCTGGGAGCTGCTGCACAGGGGGCAGGGTTGGCCAGACCCGTCCTTAGCCAAGCTTTGCCTCCACTTCCCCTCTGGTCTCCCCGCCACCTCCAGCCAACGGCGCCTTGGGGCTGACGAGATCCTGGAACGTGAGCCTACAGCCTCGTTCCTCAAACTCAACTGTGGTTACCATTAGTGCAAACATTTCAATTCAAAATCATTCAAAAACGATAATCATATTAAGGGATCTGCCAAAGTCTAATAGTTCTGTTGCAGAGGAGAAGAACAGAAATTAAAAATAATCACTTTTATTGTTGCTGTTGTGCAGAATATATGCAACACGCACACAGTTCCAGTGGGACGGAGATGGGGAGAATTTCCACCACATGCAGAAACCTTCTCCGTATCCACGCTTCCTCTCCTTGTAAGTGCCAAAGGGCCCATCTGGGGTCCAGGTGTTCCCCCCACCCCAAAACCCTTCATTGGCTCCCTATTCTCTCCTCAGTTAAGGACAGGCTCTTCTTCCGCTTCCCTGTCCTCCTCAGTACCCGCCCAGCCGTTTGCCCCACAGATGCCATGGCCTGGCTACTCTGGGCTATTCATCATTCAGAAAGCCTGTCCCAATTTATGCTTGTCCCCCTTCTTCCGAAACGTCTTCCCCGAGACCACCTCCATCTGTGCAAATCCTACCCACCCTTCAAAACACATTTCTATCTGAAAAAAAAAAATAATTTTTTTATGGTACAAAAAACTAATACCTACCTTATAGAAAATATACCTCGACAAAAATAAGAACACAAATTTCACTGCTTTGTGACCGAGAGCGCTCAAGTCCCATTACCATCCCCCCTCTTTCCAGCTCACCTCCTTGAGCCCGGCGGGCCCTCAGTCTTTCTCCCCGCTGGGACCTCCAATCCACTGGCCCTGCGGACCCCTTTCCTACTCAGCCTAAAGCCCCAACAGTTGTTGCAATAGTGCCCTGGTACCCCCCTGCCCCCCCACTTTGTTCTCAGTTGGCAAAACCCTCACGCTGATGAAGGCAACTTGCCACACCTGTAATGCACAGCTCAAGGCGGTTAGAGACACACGTAACCACGTGAGCTGGTCTTGTTTTAAATTTAGGGCTGTGAGCCTCCAGTGGGTCTCAGTGCTGCCCTTCCTTCGTGCTACAGGGCCCTCCTCCCTCACCGTCCTAGAAGCCTCTGCCCCACCTTCTCTTCCCTCCTCAAGCCTCTAACACCTCCTTCTCCCTCACTCTCAACTGACAACCTTGCTTCCTGCTTCCCTGGAAAGGTGGTGAACAAAAGGCGAATGTCCCCGCATCCCACATCTACTTGCTTCGTGCTCTCACCCACTTTCCTTCCTTTTGCTATAACTGAACTCTTGGCTCAACTGAACGCATGCTCTTAGCCGAGGCCAACCCCTCCACCTGTCCTCTGTTGTTACTCAAGACCTCACTCCAGCAATTGCCCCTGTTATCAAATGTCTTCTCTTTGTCTCTGTATTCTTGAGGCTTTGGCGTCTCGGGCCTTGCCGCCTGGGGAGAGACTGCCCTTCCCAGGGCTGGCCAATTCTTAGAGACAGCAGAAGACCTGCTAGGGAGCACTGTCTTTCCTATGCAAACTAACCATCCCAGAGCCCACACTTAGCCCTTCTCTGGGTCCTATGCTCCAGGAGGCAATATCTCTCTGCTCTGATCATCCCAGAACCAGGCCAGATGACTGGGGACAGCCCTTATTCCCCAGAGCTCACCAAAATTACTCCAACTAGCCAATCCTAAGCC